GGTCTGCCTGACCCCAGAGGGGAGTTGCCGGCTGACCGGGAGGAAGCTGGGGCAGCCAGCGCTCCAGCTCATTCTTGCCCCTCTCATACCCAAACCACACTCCCTCCCTGCCAGCAAGTCCATGGCCACTCACCGTGATGTGACCCTTGGGCAGGGCGGGACTGCCTGTGGGTTTCCCAGCCCGTGACTCCACCTCTCCCTCCGTCTCCCCCAGGAGTGTCGAATCCTCAAGAACTTCTCCTCGCTCCATGCTGTCCTTTCCGCTCTGCAGAGCAACTCCATCCACCGGCTGAAGAAGACCTGGGAAGACGTTTCCAGGTGGGAAAGGGTCCTAGGCGGCTGGTGGGAGGCAGCCAGCTCCCCTGCGGGGAAGGCTGGGGCAGCAGGGCCAGGTCACCAGATCGCCACCTGACCTTAGGCCCAGGGTCCTGCCTTCGGCCTTGGTTTCCAGGCGGTCAGGTACAGGCTTGGCCAAAAGATTTACAAGGTTTCCACTCACCCAACGGAAACGAGGCTGCTTCGAGCTGAGCTGCCCAGCTGGGTTGGGAATGGAGGGCGGGCAGAGCACCCTGCTCCCCAGCCCCACGGCACCCCGTAGGCCCCAAAGGAACCCGTTTCCAGGCCCCGCGCCTGAACTTGAAGGACTTGTACTCACCACCACGCCCACCCACAGGGAAAGCGTCCGAATCTTTCAAAAGCTGTCCGAGATCTTCTCTGACGAGAACAACTACTCCCTGAGCCGGGAGCTGCTCATCAAGGTACCGAGAGGCCGGTGGGAGGGGCGGGGGCTGGACAGGTGCTGCTTGTTCGCTTGTCCCCTAAAAAGTCTCTTTGAAACCAGCCCGGCCTTGTTTTGACTGGACTTGGAGAGAGAGGGATCCATTGGGCTGGGTCCGTGGGCAGGTGGGGTCCATTTGGGGTCAGGCTGGAGGCCCTTGGTAATCGGGTACCGTAGCAGCGGCTGGGCTGTCCCTGGAGAGGTTGATGGACGTCACAGCAGCAGCCACGTGCAGGCCCCTCTTGTCCTGGCTGAGCTGCCCCCAGGCTATTGGGTGGGGCTGGATTTGGGGTGGAGGTGCAGAGGCCATTGAGGTCCTTGCCGCTCTGCAGCACCCCTGCTGTTCCTCTGTCTGTGTCATCCAAGGAGGGCTGCCTGCCTGCACCAGGAATGGAGGAATGGCATGGCAGGGGCTCACCACAGGCCGGTGGTCAAAGGGGCTGCCCAGCATGGATTCTGCCACCCCTCCCTCCCTCGGCAGGCACTGCCCAGCCTCATCCCACCGCCTCACTAGCAGACAAACTCACACTGCCCTGTGCCCCACCTCCCAAAAATCCCACACCCACTGCCATGGAGTTGATCCCCCGCATGGCACCCTCTAGGCCAGAGCAGAACTGCCCCCTGTGAGTTTCTAAGACTGTCACTCTTGACAGGAGTAGAAAGTCCTATCTTTCTCCCGAGGAGCGGCTGTTGGTTTCAAACTGCTGCTGTGGACTGCAGCCCAGTGCGTAACCACAGCGCCCCCAGGGCTTTTAACACACAGAGAAGACAAAAGAGCCCCCCAGTGCCCCCACGAGACCCCTCTTGAGGGGAGGGGAACCGTTCTGCAGGGGAGCTTCCTGGAGGGTGCTGGCGCTGTGAAGCCTTTGCTGTGGTCTCAGGTCCAGCCTGGGGCAGGGACCCCAGAGGGGCCAGGGCCTCAAAGAGGTGGGTCAGTGGGGGGCGGGGACTCGGGCTAAGAGGGAGGAGCTGACCCTGCCTCTGTTCCTTATCTGGGAAAGGCGGTGATCCCCTGAGGGATGAGGTTCAGGGCAGAGAAGGCTCTGGAGAGAGCGAGTGAGGATGGCGAGAAGGCCGACAGGACCCTGTGCGTCCCAGAGGAGCCAGCACAGGCCGGAGTCCCTCAGGCGGACAGAGGGGCTCCGATCTAAGACATACTGGGAATGGCCACAGGGCCTGTTGCACCCCGCTGACCCATGCCAGGCATCCAAGACTCAAGGTCAGGGCTGTTGGCGGAGAAGGGGTGAGGGGAGGGGAGCCTCACCGACCTCCGCCCCCCACCCCGACCCTGCAGGAGGGCACCTCCAAGTTCGCTACGCTGGAGATGAACCCCAGAAGGGCTCAGAAGCGGCAGAGGGAGTTGGTGAGTGGGAGAGGGGGTTGGCATGGGCAGTGGGCTGCCCTCCCATCCGCCCCTCTTCCTCCTGCCCCTCTCCTGTGGCCACAGTGCCTGAAACGCCTCCCATGGGCTAGACCTCCCCTGGGTCCGGGTGGGGGGGCCAGTTCTTGACCAGCTAGCGGGGCGCAGGGTATGCAAGGACTGAAGGCCAGGGCCTGCGAGATCCAGGCTCAAGGTATTTTGGGGCTGCGGAGGGGCCCAGAAGATACAACCATGTGGATGTGCCCAAGGTTGGCCTTGGGAGGTGACTGCTGTGTGCTCACCCTCACCCCACCTCGATGTGCAGGGCGTCATCCAGGGCACTGTCCCCTACCTCGGCACCTTCCTCACCGACCTGGTGATGCTGGACACGGCGATGAAGGATTATCTGTATGTGAGTGAGCTGGGGGCCGGGGAGCAGGGAGTCGGAGGGGGTGGGCCCCTTTACTGAGCCCTTGATCTCTCAGCACTTGGCGTGGGGCCCTTGTGAGCTGATGCTGTCCTGCCCTTCTGATTATTGAGTAAACAGAGGCTTGGCAGAAGCCATCAGTGCTGGTGCTCTGGGCAGGAAGCTTCGAAATGGCCTGCCTGCAAAGGAGACCTGGTGGCGGAGTGCATTACCCACTGGGCTGCTCACCCCAAGGTCAGCGGCTCAAAACCACCAGCCATTCCTCGGGAGAAAGATGAGGCTTCCTGTCTCCATGGAGAGTTCCGTCTCAGAGCCCCCCCGGGGCCGTTCTAGAGATGACACGGTGCTGCCTGGGCTTTGAAAGGCGTGGACACAGCCCTGCCAGGGCCCGGGCGTCCTGCTAAGGGTGGGAAGTTGACTCCTTCGTGGTCAGGCAGCAAGTGAGTTGCCAAGCAGGCTCTTCCTGCCGAGGGCTGCAGACCGGTTTTCCGAGCCTCCCGCTCCTTGAGCCCAGGAGAACCCGCCCGAGAGCCAAGCCCGGGATACAAAGGGGCTTCTGAAAGTTTGGGAAATTCCAAAAGTCCAAACCGAGCCCACTGCCACTGAGTCGATTCCTACTCGTTGTGAGCCTGAGTAGACCTACTGCAGAGAAGACGTGCTCCTGTGGGTTCCCGAGACTAAGAGCTCCTCTTCCTTGAGACGGTTTCACTGGTGTGTAATTCACAAACTGTACAGTGCAAGAGCTTATTTTTATTAAGGAAAAATGTACAGTTGTCACTAGAGACTGTAACTCTGTGTCTGTCTGTCTGTCTGTCTGTCTGTCATCTATCTGAGACTGTAACCCTTTATGGGGGTACAAAGCCTCATCTTTGTCCTGTGGAGCCGCTGGTGGTTTTGAACTGCCAGCCTTGGGGTTAGCAGCCCAGTGTGTAACCTGCTAGGCTACCAGGACTCCTGGAAAAATCCCAGGCCCTTCCCATTCTATTGCCTCACGAACGTTGTCAAGCCCTTTTGGAGGGACAGTGCAGTGGGTGCGGGACACGGGGGTGTCCTGGGGGACCCTTTCTGATGGTGATGGTGGTCTGTCTTCCAGGGCAGGATGATCAACTTTGAGAAGAGGAGGAAGGTAAGCAGGGTCGCCCCTGCCCGCAGGGGGTGGGGGGCGATGGGCTAGACTGGGCCCTTCTGGCCTCCTTCTGTCATTCCAGAGAAAGGGTGATGCTGAAGCCTGGGCTTGGAATCGGGGCAGCTTCCTGCAGCAGTGGCTGTTGGAGCGGGCCTGGCGCTGGGTGGGGAGCTGGATGGAAGGGGATCCAAAGCTTGCTCTCGAGGCCCCTCAGCACCCTGCCCTGCCCCGCCCTTCGGTCCGGCTGCAGGAATTCGAGGTGATCGCCCAGATCAAGCTGCTCCAGTCGGCCTGCAACAATTACAGCATCGCCCCGGAGGAGCACTTTGTGGCCTGGTTCCAGGCCATGGAGCGGCTCAGTGAGGCCGAGAGGTAAGACCAGCCCAGGCAGCAGGCGGGCGTGGGCTCCCCCTGGCGGCCAGCACCAGAGCCTCGAGCCAGAGCCATTGCAGGCTGACCTGAGCCGTGGCTGCCAGAGCCTTACGGCTGCCACTCTGTCCCGCAGCTACAGCCTGTCCTGTGAACTGGAAGCCCCCTCGGAGTCAGCCAGCAACACCCTCAAGGCCAAGAAGAGCACAGCCATTGTCAAGCGTTGGAGCGAGTGAGTGGCGGGCAGGGGCGGGCTGCCCGGGACTGTGGGGGCCAGGGGCAGGAACCCCTGGCCTCACCCCTGGGCCTCGGCTTCCCTCTGTGAAGTGGGGTGATGCTACCTGACCTCAGATGCCGGGGCCTGTGGGGCCTGTTCCCTGAGCGAGCCTTTGACGCCAGGCCCGGGATGGTGCCGGCGAGGGTGGGCAGTAAACCGGCCCCTCCTTCCAGCCGCCAAGCCCCGAGCACGGAGCTCAGCGCCAGCAGCAGCTGCCACTCCAAGTCCTGTGACCAGCTCAAGTGCGGGCCCTACCTCAGCAGTGGGGACGCAGCGGACGTGCTTAGCGTGCACTCTGCCGGCTCCTCCAGCTCCGACGTGGAGGAGATCAACATGAGCTTTGTCCCGGAGTCCCCTGACTGCCAGGAGAAGAAGGTGCCTGCTTGCTCCAGCCCCCCTGCTCCCTGGGCCAACAGCTTCTAGAAGCTGCCCCACCCCAAGCTGGACACCATCCCATGGTGCCCCACAGGAACTGGGGCCCCCCCCTCATCTTGCTGTCCCCACAGTTCTGGGAGTCGGCCTCCCAGTCGTCCCCGGAGACGTCCGGCATCAGCTCCGCCTCCAGCAGCACCTCGTCCTCCTCGGCCTCCACCACGCCCGTGGCCTCCACACGCACCCACAAGCGCTCTGTGTCGGGGGCCTGCAGCTACAGCTCCTCACTGCCCCTCTACAACCAGCAGGTGGGCGACTGCTGCATCATCCGCGTCAGCCTCGACGTGGACAACGGCAACATGTACAAGAGCATCGTGGTGAGTGAGCCGGTGCGCCAGCTCCCCGGGGCCCAGGCCGGGCGGGCAGCCAGGCACAGAAGGGACAGAGACGAGGTGTGATGGTGACCAGCTCTGGGGACCGTGGGTGCCGGGCTGAGGCACAGGTAACATGAGATGGCCAGGAAGTATCCCTGAGAAGAGGGACAGAGGGGACAGACCTGGCGAGCCCTGCAGTGAGCATGTGCCTGGCAGCTGGAGCGGCAGGGAGGCCAGAGGTCAAGGGGCAAGACCGAGGCCAGAGAAGTGTGCTGGGCTGCGTCTCATCAGGCCCTATGGGCTTTCACCAGAGTAAGAGGGTGTGGGCAGGGGAAGTTCAGCACAGAGGGACAGCTGATGACCTTTGATTTCCCTGTTGGTGGGGAGCTGGTACCCAGAGAGGGGAGGTGGCAGTGGAGGGAAAACCCCTGCTGTATAGAGTAGTCTCTGAGGTGGGGCAGTGGTCAGGTTGTGGACGTCACTGGCCCCATCACACACCGTCCTGCACTGTGTGTATCACCACCCGGAGCTAGCCAGCCGTCAGTGAGCAGTCATTTGAAGGACCCTTGGCCTAAGCCTTGTCTACTCCCTGGGCCCAGCACTCATCTGTGCCCTCCAGGGTCTGTGAGTCTATGCTCCGTGCAGGGTTGGCTCCCGGCAGTCCTGGGGGGCTGTGCAGTCCATCGCTCGCTGCTCCCTGCAGGTGACCAGCCAGGACAAGGCCCCCACCGTGATCCGCAAGGCCATGGACAAACACAACCTGGACGAGGACGAGCCAGATGACTATGAGCTGGTGCAGGTCATCTCGGAGGATCGCAGTGAGTCAGGGCAGGAGGAGGGGGGTTGGACTCGGTACACACCAGCCACCACCGGCCTAGCAGTAGGGGAGGCACCAGGCACACACAAAGACCTGCCCTAGGGCAACTCTGAGACTTGCGTCTCCTGGTCCACCCTGCCACGCGCCCTTCCCTGGGCATGAACCAGGCAGTGAGAAACCGTGCTCAAAGCTGGCATCATTGAAGAGCTGAGCGCGAGGGGGCCTCTGTTCTGGGCTGTGGGCAGAAGGGCGGGCCTCCAGGCTCGTTTCCTTCAGGGGTGCCCGTGGCCAAGATGGAGACGTGGGTGCATCTTGGAGAATCCTGACCCACGGGCTGGAGCATCAGATACGTTAGCGCCCCTACGTTCCTCATACTGACAGCCAGCAGGGTCTCCTTGCTCTCTTCTGGAGGCTCAGGATCTGAAAACTGGGAAAGGGAATGAATGGAGAGGAACCAGCACACAGGCAGCCTGGGCCAGTTCTCTGCACCCTCGATGCCCGCTGTCTTGCCCAGAGTGGGGAGAAATCAGCCAGCAGGTCGATCCACATGGTACCTGGGGGCACATAGTATGTGTGGGCACTGTAAGGGTCTGAGGTCAACCCTTGCCATCACTATTTTCTTTTCGGTGAGCTGATCACCCACTCCCAGCCATTAAACTCAAACCCACCACGTGGCATCTATTCTGCTCACAGCAGCCCTAAAGGACAGAGTAGGACTGCTCTCCGGGGTTTCCCAGGCTGTAAATCTGTGTAGAGGCAGGCAGCCTTGTCTTGCTCCCAAGAAGCAGCCGGTAGCTTTGAACAGCCGCATGCTTCTCCCAGCCATTAACCCAATTGGGAGTGTCACCCACGGGCCCGAGAAGTTGTTTTCCAAACCTTATAGCATGTTGGTTAGATGGACCGTGTGGACCTCTGTAGGCTCATCCTGCTGGGGGTTTGTGGAGCTCCGTGGAGGTGTAGATTCGTGTCTCTCATCAACTTGGGGAAACGGTGGTCCTTCATTTCTGCAACTCTTCTTTCTGCCTCTCCTTTCGCTTTCTGGGACTTCCATAGCGTGTGTTTCGATCTGCTTGATGGGGTCCCTCAGAGTTGCTCGTTAAGCAAAAGTCCTTAGGTTTAAGCAGTACTACACAGGGCAGCTCTGATTTTAGAACCCTGGGTGGTCCTGGAGCTGGACTGGGAGTCTCCGGTCCCTGGCTACAGCCTGCCTGGCAGTCAGCAGCAATGTGGTAACCCCTCACCCTGGCCCAGCCTCCTCTGTGCACCCTGACCGTCCCTCTGCCTCTCCCCGACCAGAGCTGAAGATCCCGGACAACGCCAATGTGTTTTACGCCATGAACTCGACCGCCAACTATGACTTTGTCCTGAAGAAGCGGACTTTCAGCAAGGGGGCAAAGGTCAAGCACGGGGCCAGCTCAACCCTTCCACGCATGAAACAGAAAGGACTCAAGATGGCCAAGGGCATCTTTTAACGGGCCTCTGGCACCGGCCAGCCTCAGGGCCACCCTCTCCAGGGCCTGGCTGGCCAGGTAGGGAGGCACGTACAGACTAGAGGGGCGCAGGCCAGGCAGGCATCTCCCTCCCAGCCTGCCAGCCAAAGCCACCCCCGGACTCCAGCTTCACCGCCGAACCTCTCCTGCCACCGGGCATGACGCCTGCCAGTCGCCAGGCTGATCCGGAACCCCGTGGACCACTCCCTGCCTTAGGTGCCTTCTGCTCCCTGGGAACCAGACGACTAGCCGGCCTTCGCCATGGAGCGCTGCCAATGGGCGTGGTGCTCTGGCCCGCCACTGGGCACTGCCCTCTGTACATGTCCCTCACGGAGGAGGGTCACTGCCACCTGTGCCCACGGGCACCCCGGAGCACCCACTCACCCACCGCGTCCGACCACTGCAGTTCTCTCCAGGTGCCCCAGAGCACTGCCTGTGACCTTCCCAGGGGGGCTGGCCCCGCCCACCGCCGCCCTCGCCTTTGCCAGGCTGCACCAAAGAGTCCACGTCAGGGCCGTTGCGAGTGAGTCCCCAGGATGCACTGCTTCCAGGCCCCAGGCCACACAGCGCGGGGGGAGAAGGGGAGAGGGCGGCCTTGGGGGAGAGGTAGGAGGGGGGAGGGGAATGAATATTTGTATAAAGGCAAAAACAAAACAAATGTTTACTGACTGGGGAGGGGCAATATTTATTTGTTGTAAATAGCAAATACTAGACTTGAATATTATATTAAATTCCCGTTTCTACTACAGCCCGGGAGTAGCAGTTTTGTTTCGTTTCATCTCCACATCCAGGCCCTGGCCGGCTAGCAGGTGTGTGGTGTGTGAAGAGAAAGGCTACCGCACGGCTTTGCTTTCCCACGGAGCCAGGCCCAGGCTGGGGGCCGGCTCGGTTTCTCCAGGGGCCCGGGCAACCGCGAGAAGCCCAGCAGGGGGAACATTTATTTCCTGCCATTAGCTGCCTGCATACCAGTGTGGAAGGAGCCCTGGTGGCACAGTGGGCTGGCTCGTTCCACTGCTAACCACAAGGTTAGTGGTTCAAATCCACCAGGTGCTTTGTCAGAGAGATGAGGCTGTCTGCTCCCATTAAGATTCACAGCCTCGGAAACGCCAAGGGGCAGTTCTACTCTGTCCTTTAGGGTCCCTGTGCTCAGACTGGACTCTGGCAGCGAGTTTGGAGTTTCCCCAAGGTGCAACATGACTGCATCGTTAAGGCACCGTCGGCCAAGAGGGAAGTTGACAGTTACCCAGACGAGACCTGTGTTTGCCGCCAGGGTCCGGCTCCATCTTTGATGGGGAGTCTGCTCCTTACACCCCAAATTCCTTGACCAAGCCAGAAAGTGCAGGGTGGCCACAGTGGTCACAGGCAGGGCCTGGGTGCTACCCTGCCCCAGGAGGGGACGAGGCTGCTGCCCAGCTCTGGCTCTGCGGTGAGAGGAAGCGGGACTCCAGCTGCACTTGATTCCTGGTGGGAAGGTGTGACGTCAGTTCCTGATGTCAGGTCAGGACAGTGACCACTGGGCCAGGGGGTGAGGGCAGGTGACCTGAGGTGTCTTGGGCCTGCCAACCTTCCATTTCAGAGAGTCTCGGGGTGTAGCTGTCTGCAATCAAGTGGCTGCTGCAATCTGGTTTCTGCACATATCTTACTTTTTTCTTTTCTCCCCTCTCCTTTGTTTTTAAGTAAAACACCATTCTGGTAGTCCCTCTCCCAACTGGCAGTGGAGAGTAAAGAGCCAGGGACATCTGAACGTGGAGGGCACAGACAGGAAAGAATGGAGCGTGTCCACAAACATTTTGACGGCCCGCAGGGCTCGTCACAGCTGACTGCAGGCCATCAGGACAAAGTCCCACAAGCGCGGGGGCCTCCACAGACCTGAAATGCTTTCTCCCACAGTCCTGGCAGTCTGAATTCAGGGTGTCAGCCGGCAGGGCCATGCTCCGTCTGAAGGCACCAGAGGAAACGCCTTCCTCGGTTCTTTCAGCGTCTAGAAACCCCACGTGCCCCAGCTGTGGAAACCAGCAGCCTCTTGTCCATATTGCCTTAGGCCCTCGTCTGTCCTCTTGTTCTCTTTGTATAAGGACGCCTGTTGGGGATCCCCCAGCCTCTCTCAGACCAGTAAGTCTGATTTAAAAAAAAAATTTATTTTACAATGTTAAATTTTGTTGCACATTTTTCTTCCCCTTTGTCCAGACTCCGCTTGTGATCCCTTTCAGGGCGGTCAGCACGGTAGGTGGGCACCATCCAGTTCTTCTGATTTCAGGGTCACGGAGATTAGACTTCGAATGTTCCTTAGTCCTTTGGACTATTGGTCTCCTTGGGCCATTGATCTTTGCTTTCTGCTCCAGATGGGAAGAGACCAACAGGTGTACCTCAGATGGCCACTTCCAAGTTCTTAAGACCCCGCTGCTGCTCAGCAAAGACATATGCAGAACATTGTCTTGCTGGCCTAACGACATTACGCCAGTTGGTCTTGATGTCCTGAGCCCCATTGCTAGTGACTCTTTCCCTCAAGGCGTCCGGTTACGGCAAGCAGTTTTCATAACTCTGCCCTCAATTAAAACACCACACTCCACTGTCTGAGTCAGCGCTGACTCCTAGCGACTTTTACAGAGCAGGGTAGAACTGCCCCGGTGAGTTTCTGACCCTGTCACTGTTTGCCAGAGTGGAAAGCCATGTCTCTCTCCCGGAGAGCAACTGGTGGCTTCCAACTGACGACCTTGTGGATTGCAGCCTAACTCATAACCACTAGGCCATCAGGTCTCCCTCTTGCCCCCAATAGGTTCTTTTATATCCGTGCATATATTGGCAGTGTGTAGGCTGACATAGAACTATCTTCTGTCAACTACCCATTCATGGGTATAATCCCATTTGCCTCCCTACCTTTGTTCAGCCTGGGTTCCTGGATATCCACTCATAGATGATTGCTATTCCTGTTCATGGAATTGTGGGTATAATAGTATTTACTCAACAGCGTCAGTCGTATGTCAGTAATTACTCGTTTAAATGAACTCGTGCTTAGAGATACCTATAAATCCATAGATTTATATCCTTGAAATGTCCTTCCTGTGTGACCAAACACATCTAGACAGACATACTCCAATGAATATGTCCTAGAAGTAAATTTATTGGCAAAGACAATGGGGAAAAACAAAACTAGGGCTTTTTATTTGTATTGCCAAATTTTCTGGGCAAAAATTAAGTCACTGTGAACCCTCTAGAGAATATTGAGTACCTTTTTTAAACCTTCTTAACACTAGATTTGCAGATATGTATATATATGTATATAAAGTATGTATATAAAGATATATATATCTTTGTATATAACATTTTCTCGAACTTAAAACTAATTTGTCGATAAACAACTATATTTGTATATCTGCGCTCGGCTAAAACTTCTCTCGTGATGTCTCAGTCTGCATTACCCTACATATGTATTCCGTAGCCATCAGTGTGAGTTTTGAATTTTTTTTTGCTTTTGAATTTGATTTACATATGTACACAGATACAGAAATCCTACTGGTGCTGTAGGACTGCTAACCACAAGGTTGGAGCTTCAAACCTACCAGCCACTCCTGGGGAGAAAGATGAGGCTGTCTGTGGTTGTGAAGACTTACAGTCTCAGAGCATCGGTTCTCAACCTGTGGGTCAAATGACCTTTCTACAGAGGTTGCCCGATTCAGAACAGTAGCAAATTACAGTGATGAAATAGCAATGAAAATAATGTTAGGGTTGGGGTTCACCACAACATGAGGAACCGTATCAAAGGGTCACAGCATTAGGAAGGTTGAGAACCACTGCTCTATCGGGTCAATAGGAGGCATCGACTCAATGGCAGTGAGTACATGAGAGATCCACCTGTGCACATGTGTGCCATGTATAAATAAATGTGTACCTATAAGTGCCCCGGTGGCACAACGGGTAATCTTTGGGCTGCGAACTGAAAGGTTGGTGCTTCGAATCCACCAGCTGGTCTCAGATGAGGCTGGCTGCTTCCGTTAAGGCTCAGAAAGCCCATGGGGCAGTTCTGCTCTGTCCGACGGGGTTGCTGTGGGTCAGAATCCACTCAGTGGCAGTGGGCTTATGTTTTTGTTTGGTTGGGTTTGGGGCCATTTTAGATTAGGGCCCACTCTATCCAGTATGACCGCATGTTCCCATCTGCAAAGAGCTGATTCCCAAATAAGTTCACATGCACCAAGTACCGGGGCTTAGAACTTGAACATTTTTGGTAGGGGGAATGGCAGGCTTCAAGGAGCCCTGATGGCACAGTGGGCCACAAGGTCAGCAGTTCAAATCCACTGGCCACTCTGTAGAAGAAAGGGGAGGCTTTCTGCTTCCCGTTAAGATTTGCAGCCTCAGAAAACCAAAGGGGGTGCAGACCTGGACTCTGCCTCAGAGGGTTGCTACGAATCAGAATGGGCTCGATGGCATTGGGTTGGTTTTTTTGAGTTGGCACAACCGAGTTCCTAACAACTCCCTTTCCGCTTTGACCTATTGAACACTCTTGGGTCAATGTCTATTTACACTCTTCCCCACCCTCCTCTACCCGCTGACAGCCATGGAGGGGCAGGGGCTCAGGTAGGAGGGAGGAGATCTGGCGAACAGCATTCCTCTAGCCTCACTTCAATGTTCGTTACTGCCCGACATGGTCCTTAGTGCATACAAAGTGGAACAGTAGAGTGTATGCTACTGTACCCGAGGAATGATAAAAGATTGGCAGCCCTGAACCAGGAGCCAGTGCGAGAGACAGGGCAGTGAACTCCCCAGGCCACAGAGAAAATAAAGCTGACTGTCTTGGGCCTGGAGGCTGGCTTTTGGAGTAGTGTGTCTCCGGGCATGTAATTGGAGGTGCTGGGTCTGCTGACCCGGGAGCTAGAGCTTCGTGTTTGGGCCAAAGCTTGAAGCAGAGTGGAGTTCTCTGGGCATGTCATTCCAGTCCTAAAAGAACTTGGTAACACTGTCCAGGCACACTGAAGACAAATGGGTGCATAAGCAAATGTGGCGAAGAAAGCTGATGGTGCCCGGCTATCAAAAAGTATAGCATCTGGGGTCTTAAAGGCTTGAAGGTAATCAAGCGGCCATCAAGCTCAGAAGCAACAAAACCCACATGGAAGAAGCACACCAGCCTATGCAACCACGAGGTGTCGAAGGGATCAGGTATGAGGCATCATCAGAACAAAAAATCTTACCATAGTGAATGATGGGGAGAGTGCGGAGTGGAGACCCAAAGCCCATGAGTAGGCCACTGGAGATCCCCTTGCAGAGGGGTCTCGGGGAGGAGATGAGCCAGTCAGGGTGCGATGTAACAACGATGAAAAATACAACTTTCCTCTAGTTCCTAAATGTTTCCTCCCCACTCCCACTACCATGACTCGAATTCGACCTTGCAAGTCTGGCTAGACCAGAGGATGGACACTGGTACAGATAGGAACTGAAAATACAGGGAATCCAGGGCGGGTGAGCCCTACAGGACCAGTGGTGTGAGTGGCGATACTGGGAGGGTAGCGGGAGAGTGGGTAGGAAAGAGGGAACCGATTACAAGGATCTACATGTGACCTCCTCCCTGGGGGACGGACAGCAGAAAAGTGGGTGAAGGGAGACGTCTGACAGGGCAAGATATGACAAAATACCAATTTATAAACTATCAAGGGCTCATGAGGGAGGGGGGAGCGGGGAGGGAGGGGAAAAATGAGGACCTAATGCCGGGGGGTTAAGTGGAGAGAAAATGTTTTGAGAATGATGAGGGCAATGAATGTACAAATGCGCTTTACACAATTGATGTGTGTATGGATTGTGATGAGTTGTATGAGCCCCTAATAAAATGATTAAAAAAAAACAAAAAACACTGTCCAGGCAGAGAGAGGCCAGGCCAAAAGGCTGAGGGCCAGAGAGAAGAGGCTGTCCTGACTGAACCATTTCTCACCTACATAGCCACCTGTTAGCTTGCTTTAAAAAACCCGTAACTAAAAACCATAACCAGGAGTGGTCTGTGATTCTGTATGGCCATCGCAATGACTCCCTGAAGCCAGTCGAGAAGAAGTAGAGGGTGCCTTGGGGTGAGGTGGTACGGAAGCCGTGGGATCGAGGCCTGTCTGACCGTGCAGTCTCATAGGCATCCGTCTTGGTCTGATGTGCAGTTTGACCCTCCGTCCTGCTTGTGAAGTTGGAGGAGGTCAAAGGCCACCCCCGTCACATTCTTCTTCACTGCAGTCAATTCACCACGTCCAATAATGAGATGGTAGATAGGCGAGGAAAGGGTGTCTGTGCCGCCTTTCTGGCCCTTGTGCCCGAGGACAAGATACTGCTTTGGTTTTTGTTGTGTTCATGAGAGCTTGCCAGGGTCAGGTGGATTGAAACCTAATCACTTCTGAGATTGAAAAGAGGAGAGTTGAGACACACGCACGCACGCACGCACGCACGCTCGCACCATAAGGAAGCTGGTAAGCCAAAGGACCAAGGGGGTTGCCCAGGGCTACTGATAAGGAAAATAATTGGCATGGCTGAGACCCAGATTTGAACTTCAGGTCCTGAGAGCTGTTTTGTGCTTTTTGTGCCCTTGTGCTTCAGCAGCACTCGGTAACTTCAGACTGGCCCCTACTGGGACTTCTGTCAGCCACCCTTCCGACACTGCCCAGGAGGGGAGCCACCCTGCGCCCTTTGCTTACGAGAATCCGCTGTGCTAATTTGTGCACTTTGTATCCAGCTGGGGCAACAGAACCAGTTTCTCTTCCCTGACTGGGTCCCCAGACCACAATCAATACAGAAGTCACTCTCTGCCCCACCCTCAGGACTTGGGGCATAGCTGGGTTCTGCTGTCTCCAGAGGAAGCCACCACCTATTCTCCCCACCCCCACCCGTCCCCTGTGCCCCCTAGGACAGTCCTCTGCAGAGTCCAGCTCCCCTCCCTGGTTGCCTCTGCCTTTGGGCCAGCGCCCAGCCCACCAGGAGCCAGCAGGCTGGTATGGAATGGGGGAGGGCAGGCTTTGGGATAGCCCACAGCTGAATCCTGATGCCGGGTCTACCGTGTCATGTCTCAACCTGTCCCCAAGTCCCCAACAGTAGTCCCCAACAGTAGCATGGGACTCCTGGGAACTTGGAACACCAGCCCCAGTCCTGATGCAGTGGTCAGCCGCTCCTGCTGCTGTTCAGAGAAGTGGCTGTCCCTCCTTCCTCTAGCTGGCTCTTGGGAACAACAAGAGATGCCAAACAGATGGGTGAGGCTTTATTCAGGAAGAGCATGGGAGTTGGGGGTCTCTGGGGTCCCACCTTTATGGCCTCTTGGGGCCAAGCCTCCTGAGACTTTAAAAGCCGATAACTATGGGCATCTGACCCTCAGAGTTGCCCTCTGGGGGTGCGGGGGCAGCCTCAGAGTCGCCCACAGGTGGCAAAGGGGCTTCCTCAGCATCCTCCTTGGGGGGCTCGGGGGCGGACTCGCCACCCGTCACGGAGGGCAGGGCCTGGTAAGTCTGGGTCCAGTAGTGTAGGTAGTCGGTCCTCCAGTGCTGCTTCATGGAGTTACTGTCAATCTTCTTGTTGATATCCAGGTAGTTGCCATTTTCCGGGGTGTAGGGCTCCCAGCGTGTGGGGACGGCCGAGTGGCCCGTGTTGGGGTCCCTGCGGAGTGAGAAGAGGCCGGATGGGGCCTGGAGGCTCACAGGAGGCTGGAGCCCTGAAGCCCGAACCAGCACTGCCTTCCTATTGGGCCTGGGCAATGTTCGCTGGCTCCAAACCCGAGTCCACCAACAAAGGCTCCCTGTGTCCCGGACACTGCGGTACCTGGGCGCTCTGAGGGCCTGTGCAGAGGGGTGGGCACATGCGGCAGCACTGACCCTTTGGCAGATGGAGACACTTGGGTTCATGAGGGGATGTGACTTGCCCCAGGTCTCCCCATGGGTATGTAAGGGTGCAGAGACTCCTGGACTGCAGGACGTGTCTGTTGCTGCCCGTGCGCCTGCACTCGGCCCCAACCCTTACCCAGTTCTGGCGAAGTTGGTCCAGTAGGCGATCATGTTCTTGGAGACCGTTTTGTCTTGGGCCCGGTAGCCCAGGAGGGTTTGGAAGGGCTTCCCAAAGACATACTGGATGTCGTCCGCGTGGTCAGCCCCCACCCAGCTGGGGTAGACGGGCATCCGAGAGGGGTGGGTGAACAGGTAGTTGTAGGTCTTGGCGCTCCTGAGGACGACAGGGAGAAACCACTCCGATTGGGAGGATGCTCACCCGGCTGGCCCAACCTGGAAAGGAACCTGAAAGGAGAGTCTGGGGAGTGTGGCCAAGACTCATACAGGAACTAGGATGGCTCCCTCTGGAGAAGGGAAAGCTGCAGGCAGCCTCAAGATTCCGCTTTTCCATTGCATGTACCCTTCAGGCTAACACACGAGGAGCTCTGGTCGCGCAGTGGTTACGTGTTGGGCTGCTAACCGCATGGGCTGCAGTTTGAAAGCACCGACCCCTGAGGGAGAAAGGTGGGGCTCTCGACTCCTATAGATTACAGTCTGGGAGACCCACAGGGGCGGTGCTACCCTGTCCTGCAGGGTCGCTGTGGGTCGGCACCCACTCAGCAGCAGTGCATTTGGTTATTTTCGGTCTACACACGGTTGGAGGCATCTCCCTCCTATAGCTGAGAACCAAGAAAGCTGTTTCCACGCCAGCCTTTTCTCCCCACTTGCCGTGTGACCGGCCAAATTCTCTGACCTCCGCGGTTCTCCTTCTGCATCGGGTATCGGAAGCTCAGGGCTGAGTGGACTGCAGAGCTCTCCACCGAGACTTAGGGATTCAATTGGTTTCTCCTCCCTTTTAAGCACCCTGGTAATGACACGGTCATGAGCCTGGCTGTTAGCCAAAGGTGGTCAAGGTTGCCAAGCCGTGTCCACCCAGAGGGGCCTTGGAAGAAAGGTCTTGTGAGCTACTTCCCAGAATCCAGCCATTGAAAACCCGACGGACACGATTCTACTCCCACACACACATACTCATACACACACATGTGTTGGAGTCCACTCATTGGCAATGGCTCCTCCAGTATTTACTGTGTGACAAGCCCTGGTGGCTCACTGGTAAGTGCTCAGCTGGAATCAGCAGCCGGAACCCACCCGCCATGTCCCGGGGGTGGGGGGGCAAAGACCCAGGATCTGCTCCCATCGGGATCACAGCCTCCGTGTGCCATTGTGACCTGGTGCGGGAGGCCTCCCTCATCCAGACGACTTCTGTGTCTGCTTCTGTGTCCTTGTTCTCCTCAAATTCTACCTGAGATTGGGGTCTCTGGTGGATGCTAAAACGGGCGTAGTCAGAAAACAGGATTCCAAAGCTCTCTTTCCTGGTGGGATAGCTGGAGGGTCTGGGAAAGTTGGCACCAGAAAAAAAAAAAAAAGGTCACTCCCTTATTCCCTTGGGTCTGCAAGGGAGATTCCGCAAGGGTAGGCACTCCTGGTATCACCAGGAGTTACACCGTTTGGGGGCTTTCAGAACTGCGTTAAATCTCGAAGTCCTCATTTAGCCAGGGTCCTATGACTCATCAGACCTCCCTCCTCTGCATGATGTGTCCGTGTCTCTGTCCCTATTAAGACTTCATGATTGTTCTCCTAAATAAAAGAGAGAGAGAGATTACAGCCTAGGAAATCCTGTGTCCAATCGGGTGCCCTGGGCTGGACTTGACGGAAGGCATATAACAGCAGTGTGTTCCCCTCAAGGATAACTGAACAAAAGTCGTTGTTGTCCAGTGTTCTCACAAGAGATGGAGGGTAGGCTTAAGAATGCCCCAGGGGTAGGCCAGCCAGGGTGGAGGGTCTTGGTGGCATTTTGTAAACCCCTGGGGCTGGAAGGGGAGGAGAGGGCCTTGGAGCCTTGTCACATGGGCAGGGACACGTGGGGGCTGGCCAGCGCTCTCCCAGGCACCCTGATACCTGTGAGCCACCCCCCTGCTGAGGCCCCACAGGAAAGTGCCACATCCCAGGCAGGTATCCTCAGGGAGCAAAGCCCACCCCCGGCACCACGCCCAGGCCCTCACTTGGCATTGGCTCTGTGCTGGGCCAGGGCGATCTTGGTGGGTACCAGGAAGAGGATGTCCGTCTCAAAATTCACCACGGTCTTCTTCTTGGCCTCCTGGGATGAGTCCTGGGTCCAGGGCTCGGTGTAGAACTGGAAGGAGGCTTGGGCACCTTTGAGCCCCTTGGTGATGGTGAGCCCGCTGACCAGCTTGTAGAAGTCCTCACTGCAAGGGACCAAGCAGGAATTGAACTCTCCACACAGTGGGTGGCCCCCTCACCCACGCCGCTAACCTCCTCACCCTCACCCTTTTCGCCATGCCTCTGCACCCGGGCTTGCTGCTTACTCGGTGATGGCTTGGGACTTCTTGTCAATCGCCGGCATGTCGATGGAGGAGAAGATGTGGCCGTCCATGTTGTTGGTGCCCGCCATGTAGTCAATGTCGGCAGTGTTGGCGTACAGGTTGACAGGATCCTCGGGGATGAAGTCTCCATCGATGACAGGGACGAACGCCAGGTAGTGCAGCATGGGGTCTGGGTGGGAGAGCCGACACGACACAGTCGCGCCCCTTCCAGGCCCCCTCTGAGCCCTGCCTCTACTTCAGAGGGGGCGTCTGACTCCCTCCCCGAGAGGCTGCCTGGGGGCCACCTCCCGCCTCTGGTCTGAAGTAGTTTCTCAACCTGGACCCGACTAACACATTGAGCCAGATAATTAATTCTATATCATGTTGTGGGGGGTGGGAGGCTGTCTGTGGCACCCCCTCCCTGCTGGTGACAACAAAACATGTCTTCAGACATTGACACCTGTCCCCTACGGGCAAAACCATCTCAGGAGGAGATGGAGGGGCAACTGAGGGCACAGAGGGAGAAAGGGGCACCTCTCCTCCAGGGCTAGGTTCTAAGCTGTCAGCCTTAAATTCTGGGAGGTCCCCCCAGTACGTTCCAGCACCCCTGAACCAAAGGCCCTATGGGCCCAGGGGATACGAAGAGTTCATTAGGTCCAGCCCTGTCCGTTTGCCCTCCAACGGGAAGTGTGGGCTTTGATTTTGCAACGCGCTTACATTGAATTCAAGTGAGCGATGTGCTGGCCCCGTTGCTCTCTACCTGAGTAGAATGATCAAGGGGGAATCCCAGCCTACCGGGCTGAGGATGCTGACCTCCATCCATCCCCCAAGCCTTCCCAAGGTAGACACTATTAGGGCTGGAGGCCCACACGCTACGGTAGGTGCTCAGTAAATGCCTGTTAAATGAATGCAAGATCATCTACCATGAATTTTGTGGTCTAGGGCCCGTGGATTTTCGGGGTCTATAAATTGCCCTACATTGTGTGTAACTAGTGCAAATGTGTGCATGCCAGGGGTGTAACCCAAGTGCCCATCAGCTTCTCCGGGGGTCCATGGCCCCTGGAAGATAAGAAGGAAGAAGGGTCCCTATTTACAGCTGGGAGCAGCTGAGGCCTGCACGGGGGCAATTTCCACGTTCTGCAAATCCTGGTGACGGGATCCAGCCTCAAATAAGACACCTTCCTCTCCTCTCTAGGAGAGCAGCCCTGCCCTGCGGAGCCCTGCCCCCACCTTGAGTTCCCACCCCCGCCTGCCCAGCCACCCGACTCACACTCCATGCCGGCCAGGGGCATCTTGTAGGCCAGAGTCAGGGCCCGGGGGTCCGTGACTTTCAGACACTTGGCCATCTTAGAGGTGTCGTCCAGGGGGCAGCCCACCTTCTTGGCGATCTGAGGGTGCGGAGTAAATAGGGGGCAGGTCAGGAAGGCCAGTGCTCAGGAGAGAGACTGACTGGAAATCGGGACGCAGTTTGTGGTAGAAAATGGAAAAGTGACAAAACTATAATAAGTTGTGAATTATGAAGGGTTCATGAGGGAGGAGGGCTGGGGAGGGAGGGGGGAAATGAGCAACTGATATTAAAGGCTGAGGTGGAGGGCAAATGTTTTGAGAATGATGAGGGCAGCGAATGTACATATGTGCTTGACACAATGGATGTATGGATGGATTGTGATGAGAATTGTACGAGCGCCCAATAAAAAAAAAAAAAACCAGAAAGAAAATGGAAAAGTGAAAGACAGCCTCCCAGGCATGAAACCCAGCCCTGAACCACACCCGCCCTGCCAGCCACTTACCATCTTGGCCCAGTAGAGTGGATTCTTCTGAATGACCCAGGGGCTCAGCGCCACGCCACTCTGGCTGATGGCCCTCCGGATGAGGCCCTTGTTGTACGGAGAGAGGGTCTGCAATACACAGAGGGGCCGTCACCAAGGTCTCGCCTACCCTGCCCCAGCCCAGGCTCAGCCCCAGCCACTCCAGCCCAGCTCTCCTCCACCTGCCCGCCCGCCTTCCCACTCAGCACCTACCAGCTCCCACCCAAACCCTTTGGGGCAGACCCCCCACCCCTCCACTCTGGGGACCTCCCGACCTGCAGAGAGACGCTGGCACCTCCAGCCGATTCGCCGAAGATGGTGATGTTGTTGGGATCCCCACCAAAGGCTGCGATGTTTCTCTTCACCCAAGCAATGGCCATGTGCTGGTCTCGAAGGCCATAGTTACCTGGGAGTAGGGCAGGGGTGGGCATCACTGGGGGGCCTTTGGCAAGGAGTCAGGGTGCTAGAGATGAGCAGCATAGAGCCTGGCACACAGTAGGTGCACGACCAATGTGGGTTAGGTTAAAAGATCCTCAACTGTGTAGAGTCCAGGGGTGACAAATGGTAGGCCCGGGGGCTGAGCCTAGGTGGGGTACTGAAGGCTCTTAGAGGGCTGGGGCAGGGGAGGGGACAGGTTAGCCTGGTTGCTGTTCATCTCTCTCCCTGCCTAGTCCCTCGCTGTCTCTCTCTATTGGCATCAGCCGCTCTGCGGGAGAAAGACGAGGCTTTCCACTCCCATAAAGAGTTACAGTCTCAGAAACCCACAAGGGCAGCTCTGCCCTGTCCTAGAGGGTCACTGTGGCTCAGAATGAACACAATGGCAGGGAGTTTCATTTCGGGCTTATATCATCTGGTTTCTCCCCTGCTTCTCTTAGACTCTCTCTTTGGGTCTCTGTCTGTCTGTCTGGCAGCCTCATCTATTTCGATACAGCCGAGATCATGATTCGGTTCCATTTTTTCCAGCTCAGTGAAAAGGATTCTGGGCCTTTCCGTAGAGCTGAGCAGAGGGGCACTGAGGAGGATTCGGAGCTCATGTGGTCAGGCATACTTGCTCCCTGACCCCTGGGGCCCTCAGGGGCTGGGCAAACCTGGCAGGTTGGAGTCCCCGGTGCTGAGGAAGCCGAGGGGGCCGACGCGGTAGTTGAAGGTGACCACGATGACGTTGCCTCGCGTAGCGATCTCCTCCCCATCGTACAGGTAGTTGCTGAGGAAGTTGGCTCCGTGGCCAGCGCCCATGAGGAAGGCACCGCCATAGATCCAAACCATGACGGGCAGGTCCCGAGAGACTGGAGCAGGATGGAAATCATCCCATGATCCGGAGACGCCCACCCAGGCCCTCCTGCCCGCTAATCCCCACCCCCACTTCCATGCAGGGGGTATGTCCATGTGGTCTCCAAGGGTCTGTCCTACCCCAGGTCTGGGGAGCAAGAGGGGGAGGCCCCCTCCACCCCATCACCCACCTCTGTGCTGACTGGGTTCCCAGACTCAGCCAGCAGGGTTGGGGCTGGGACTCGGACTCTTGGGGCTTCTTCGGGGAGAGGGCGTTCAAAGTCCCTGGAGGGTGAACGCACCTTGCCTCTTGCCCTGGGGGACCCAGATATTGAGGTAGAGGCAGTCCTCTTCCCCATAGGTGTTGTCCTGGGTGATGGTGGCCTGCAGGCATCGCTTCTTGAAGTCTTTGGCGTTCAGGGTTCCTGTGGGCAGAGGTGTGGCTAAGGGATGGCAGGTAGGGCCCGTGCCAAGGGGGTGCCAACGAGCACTCTGTCTCAGTCTTCATGGTGTCCAGCGGCAGCTGTGAAAAATCACTCAGGGATAGAAAACAAACTGCCAGAGGAGCTGTTCTCAGCTGCACTGCCGCCCGCAGGAGACGGCAGGGCTAGCGGGAGAGGCTGGCACGTCACCACGCCCCGAGCAGAAGGGTCCCGCCAAACACCCACCCACTCGCACCTTGCCAGCCAGGGTGTCGCTGGGGGTTCTCCAAGGCCTTGGGGGGTGCAGCGAAGGGGATGCCCTTGAAGATGTCCACATAGTCGCCAAAGAGCCCGAGCTTCTTGTTGACACCTTGCACGAAGCCACCTTCTGTGTACACAGCGCCCAACTGTGAGGGAGACACAGCAGGTCAGGGGCTCAGGTCGGGATGGCCCCCGGGTGCCCCTCAGAGAGAGCTTCAAGCTGGGGCGGGCGGACAGCAGGGGGTGGGGGGCCATGAGCAAGTCCACACCTGATGCCAAGGCAACCACCCTCCTCCCTTACCCCCATTGCTTAAGGAACTGGCCTAGGGCCCTGCTCACTGGTCTTGTGCCTCAGTTTGACCAGCTGTAAGATGAGCAATAGCAGTGTATGCCCTGGGGCGCCACATGTAGCATTGACTTACCCAATCAGCAAGGTAAACATGGGCCTACTTGTGTATTTGCTAATCTGTCATGAGTAATTTTAGTTCTTTCACCCAGTTTGACATTCTGCTTCTAGATCTGCCAACATCTGTCTCTCTCCCAACCTCACAGCCCCTTCCTACAGGCTCAAAGCCTCTTTTCTGATTTACAATCTGGCAGCGCTGTGGGATACGTGTCGGTCTGCTAACCACAGGGTCAGTGGTTCAAATCCACCCTCCCCTCTGTGGCTGAAAAGATGAGGTTGTCTGTTCCCATAAAGATTCACAGGCTCAGAAACCCTATAAAAGGCCCCTACGAGTCGGAAAAGGCTCAAAGGTGTACAAACCCAGCTGAGGTGAGGCTGACCCGGGCAGCAATCTGCGAGCTTTGAGGATTCTGTCTTTGAGGTGTTTCCTATTCTGAGTGTCTCCCTCGCCAGGTGAACCCAGTAGGAGCAGGAGGTGAAGGTCACCGTCGCGTCCAGGTTCCAGGGGAGGAGGACATTAGGATTCAGACTCCTGCTGAGTCATCTGGGGCCGGTATATGATCAGGCAAATGGCTTATGTGTTCGGGGCCAGTTTCCCTTTCTATAAAACGGGCATGACACCGGTCTGAGAACGGTGGTGTAGGCAGATTTACCTGTCAGATTTAGCAGCCACACAAAAACAGGTGCTCAGTTAAATTTGAATTCCAGGTAAACAGCGGCTCATCAGTAGTTTGTATACATACAACCAACTCCCTGCTATCAGGTCCGTTCTGGCTCAGAGCGACCCTCTAGGACAGAGGAGAACTGCCGGTGCCCCCGTGGGTTTCTGAGACTGGAACTTTTCTTTTCTGGCACATCTGATTTATTTTTTCAAGTAAAATATCCTAGTTCACAAGTAGCTTACTGTAATTGATTTTTTAGCTTGACCATTAAGGCTTTTGTACGATAGATGATCCACTCCTGATTTTTGACTTTTTATTTATAAAAAACGTTTATATAGACAACAGGGTCACTTAACAGATATCTTAGTGGTATTCCAACTCTTAGCAACCCTCCCTTTGTACCACAGAGGGAAGCATTGCCCTGCCCTGCACTGTCCTCACAGGGTTCCCGTGTTGGAACCCATGGCTACTGCCGCTCTGTCCCTCTCTCTTGTAAAGGCCCCTCTTTGCCACGGCCCCACTTCTTTGCCAAGCTGGGTGTCTTCTCCAGGACAACGTGTCCAAAGGAGGTTGAAACAAAGTCTTGGCATCCAGTCTGGCTGTACTTCTTCCCAGACATTTGTGTTCTGGGATTGGAACTTTTCATGGGAACAGAAAGCCTCGTCTTTCTCTCTCGGGGTGGCTGGTGGTTCCCAACTGCCACCCTTTCTCGGTTAGCAACACAACACATGATCCACGAAGCCGCTGGGGCTCCTGTCTGTAGTGCCAGCATCTCTCAAATGTCGCCTGGGGTACCCTTACATTAAAAATACCCGTTGATCGCATGAGATTCAAATTGAATTGGAATTCAAGTTTAACCCATTGAACTCTGTAGTTCCTCTGGCAACTTGAGTTGTCAGGAGTCCTGGTGGTGCCAACGGTTAAGCACTTGGCTGCTTCTCAAGAGGTTAGCAGTTCAAATCCACACAGAGGACCCTCAGGAGGAAGAGCTGGTGCTTTCCTACAGTGCCCAGATCTGATTTAGCAGGGAGAAATGAGCGCCCCCCCCCCCCAGCCTTGTGTCACCTCTGCTGGACTCTTACCTACCTTTGCTGAACTCGCCACTGCGAAGCAGCAGGTGAGGCCCAAGACGACTAGCTCCAGGTGCCCCATGGTGCGTGCCTGTCTCTGGGTGAAGCTCCTGCCAGGCCTGCTGGTATTTATGGAGCCTGAACCAGAGGGAGACGAATTGGCAGCTCCTGTGGAGGGCTCTTTCTCCCTCCACCCCTCCCCGCAGGCTGGCCAAGCTCCTGCCACTGTCCCTGCAGTGAGGAGACTGTTGCTATTCCCAGGGGCGGGGGTGGAAGCACCTAGGTTGTCTACACACACACACACCTGTACACAGGTGCTTTCCCAGTTCCCAATGCCAGCTGTGCCTGGTGCCAATGGTGCACCTGTGCAGGCTGCTGCCTGCCTGGGAGCCGAGGCAGGTGGCACAGGCTGTGGGGGTTCTGCCCAGCGGCACAGGGCCCTGCAGTCCGGCTCCTCAGAGGAAATGCTTGGCCTCCATGCCCTGCCACCCCTACTTCAGGGAAGGGTGAGTTTATAGGAATCCTTCCGATGGAGGACTGTCTATGTGACTTTGCTCTCAGGCCCAGTGAGCTGGCTGGGCCCACTGGCTATGCAGGCTGTGGGGCGCTGTCACCAGTCAGCACAGCGAGGCCGGGGGTGGAGATCTCTGAATGGGGCACAGGGTGGGAGATGGAAGGCCCTGAGCCAGTCTGGAGGGTCAGGAAAAAACGCGAGGAAACAAGGAGGCTTCCTAGCCATAGGAATAGCATGAGCAAAGGCCCTGAGGCACACTCCGACCCAGAGACAGACAGACAGAGAGGGAAGCAAAAGAAGTCACTAGTATTTTTTCCTCATGAATGTGTATTACTTCGGCAACTGGCAAACTAGTTATTAAAGAATCGTAAGACCACCATTAGTTAAACAGAAAGACCCTGCTCACCTTTAAAGACTTCAAACCCCATCCGGGTCTGTATGCTGGGTGTCGCCCTCAGCAGAGGACAAGCACATGGCAGCAGTTCTCAGTGATGCGTTTGGGAGCCTGGGAATGTACGGGCACAGTCAGGACCCCTCTGCCGCCCTGGAGCCCATGAGCTCCCTCCAGCCCCACTAGGGCCGCTCCAGTGGCCATAGTCTGCACCCACTACTCCACCATCTGTCTGTCTGCCAGCCTCTAGCGTTCCTGGGTGTTCAGTGCCACATGGCAGACAGAGAGAGGCTGGAGAAAGCTGGGGGACACTGCCTTGGGAGAAGAGAGAGTGCATTTGGCAAGTCATACTTTTTGCCTAAGCAATTCCACTTCTAAGAACTTGCTCTAAGAGAAGGGATTTTTAAATAGCGGTGGGGAGCGGATAACCCTCTGTGTACAAGGATATTCGATGCAGTGTTATTTATAGTCGCTATAAAAGAGAAAGAAAGGAGCAGAGGTGGAATGAAGGGCTCAGGGGAGGAGGGAGTGGGAGGCGTCCACATTTTAGCAACAAGGCAACAGTAAGCAAGCCCTCACCGCCCAGCTCCCCAGACAGTCCCGCACAGCATGGGTGCCCCAAAAAGACAGAGTGACAACGGAATGCCTCTTCCCAGAAATATCAAGAGACCAGCACTGTCCATCTAGTGAGGAAAATGGCCACTGGCCACTTTTGCTGACGTGTTCCTTGCTTGGTCTCTACACTGCGTTCGTGAACAGGACGTTAGGGGCCTTTCACCAGAGTCAACCCATTCCAGAGGGCTCTTGACCTCTATGGAATCCCGACAGCCCACTGCAGGGGGGGGGGGCAGGTTGGCACGATCAACTTTAACGATCTCAGCAAGTATGCTTACTTCAGACAAGATGCTCTAAAAGGTAACACTGGAAACTCGTTTTCAGGAGAAACCAAACCCCCAACAAACCTATTGCCGTTGAGTCAGTTCTGACTCACAGGGATGCAGATGCGGTTTCCAAGCCGGTCAAGTCCTTTTTAAAATTTAATAACATTTTTAAAATAGAAAATTAGGTGGGGATTTACATTTCAGATCACCAACTTTGTGTTCAATAGTAGAAGCTACTAATTAACGTCCCCAATAGTTTCCCCCTTCGCCTGCTCCTGGAGTCCTGCATGTCTCTCTTTCCTCCTGGGGACTCCCAGCTTCCGGTGAAGGCTGTGGATCTTTACGGGAGCAGAAAGCCCCATCTCTCTCCCTCACAGCAGCAGGAGAACCAGCCATTCCAAAATCAAGGAGCCCACCACACCACGAAAACAGTGACGTCAGTGACTTGCACATGTGGCTGGCTATAAGTTGGGTTTATCCTTAGGAAAAAGTAACCTCAAAGCAATCTTACATGATTTTGAATCATTTTATTGTTTTAGCACGTCGTTTTCACCTGTCGTTTATTATTCATTATATTTTAAGCATGATTTGTAATATTTTATATTTTAAAAATATTGTGCATATGCTGCAGGGGAAAAGAAAGTAATTATGCTAATGCTTTTAACAAATAATAAAACCAAATCACATGAGGGGGAACCCAAAAAACCCTGGAAAAAAAAGTTCTGCTGGGTGGAGCTTTTGTAATGCGTCACCCCCCCACCCCCCTTCCCTCAATAGGTGAGCATAGAGCAACTCCTTGATATGAGTTAGTGCACCCAGTGGCATGCCTGGAAAGGTTCTCTGGTCACAGTGAATTCTTTTATAAAAGCAGTTTCGCAGGTCTGTCTAAATAAGATAAGCTGGATGAACAAGCTGGAGGAGAAAACAACGGGACCAACAGTTCTGGGTGGACATGGGAGAGGGGGAGG